TCCTTCTCCACAGGGACCCAGGCCTGTCTCATCTACACACAAGGACTGAGGACCATTAAAGTCAAGAACTCTGTCACAGATGCTGTGCCTGATGCTATCACACTCCAGAGACACAGCAGCCCAACTACAGCATCTCCCTGGACAAGCCCATGCCCCCGCTCCATCCCATTTAAGGGACACCTGTGTCCCCGAGGCATAAAGTTCTACCTTCCCAATTCTCTCTGTCAAGAGGCTACACTGCAAATTACCCACCTCCCCAACCCCAGAGAAGTTCTGGGTGCCTGAGGAGAAAGGAAGGGAATGTGAAATTGCATGCTGAACAATGGTTCTTTTATAATATAAGAGACTCAAGATAGACCTGAGAAAGGACTTCCAGGGCAGAGAGATGATTGTGGAGAACTGGTGTAGGGGAGAGGAGTGTGCAAATAGGAACCCCCCACCATCCACAGCCAGAGCAGCTGATGGCCAGAGGCCACCAGGAGAGCAAGGCTGGAGACCAGGAGCATCCTGGAGACTGGGGAATGGGGGGGGGGGGCAGGGGAGGGCTTCTTCCTGAGCCCAGGGCTGTTCTCCAGGCTCCGAATAGGGAGAGGAAGACAGTAGGACAGGCTGCTACAGAGCTTCCTCTGGGAGAGATGCTGGGTCTCCACCATCCCCCTGGCTGCTCCCACCCAGCCCCCAAATCTGAAATCCGACTCAGACCCAACCTGGGTCAGCTTGGGGCTGGGGTGGGGCGTAGCGGGAGGGAAGAGAAGGAGGTGGCAAAGCTGGGGCAGGAGGCACCCCAGACTCCCCATCTCATCAGAATTCAGCCTCCCTCGGTGTGACCAGGGGTCCCTATGACTCCCCCACTCTCCTCTTTCGGCCCAGAGGCCACTGCCTTATGTAGCCCCCTCTACTGGGGTGCCTCCAGTGTCCTTCCAGGAGGGAAGGAGAGGTGGGAGGCATCAGGGTCTGATGCCTCCACCCTCACTCACACACCCTACGTGTTTAAGAAAGTGGGTCCCTGTCCACCTGCCACAGCCCACAGAGCTCCTGACCCTCCGCGGACAGTCCCCGCACCAGCCCGACATCGCCGGCCGGTGGGTACTTGCCCGCGCCCGCGCCCGCGCCCGCGCCCGCCGGCCAGCCCCCTCCCCGCCCCCCGGGCCACCCCGACCAACTCTGGCCGGTCCTACCTGCTCCGGGCGAGGGGCTCAGCGCCCGGGCAGCCTCCCTGAGCACCAGCACCAGGAGCCAGAGCTCTGCCCGCATGGTGGGTGCCAGGACCCGCCCCCGGCCCGCTGCAGGCCCCGGCGAGGGAGGGGCCGG